GGAAACCCATGACAGTAGTTGTCAAACTAATCACTATTTCATTAATAGTCATAAACTGCAGTTTTTCAGAAACAATTATCATTTGTTCTATCAAGAGACGGCATAAATATGATTCTAGTTTATCTATTTTAATCACTAAATAACTAAAAACGTTGTAATGTTTTTAAAGAGTGAACAAAGTAGAGAAGATAATTCAATTTTTCAAAATTTGTAATAGAGTTTGTATCGGAATATGTATTATTGATTGCATCTTACAGGCGCAAGTTACGTAAAATTATGTGCAACACCCTGTATCTAATCAGTCCTTCAGAAATTATTATAAAGAAGTATGTCAAAATTGACATATATCAACGTATCTTATGAGTCTATAAAATACGCTGATGCATATTTTTTGTCAATTTTGACATTATTGTGACGTACTTCTTTATAATAATTTTTAAATTGAGTAAAATTTCTAATTTAATATTAGTGTTGCAAAAAAGCTTTTTATTTGGCCATAAACATTACAACACAAACTGTTATAAAAAAATTTGGTACAAATTTAATACATAGTTAAATGTATTTTTAACTACTTTATTTATTTATTTTATTGTTTTTATTATGTCTAATTATTTTTTAAGTACAACTGAAGTGGTTGTATGAAGAAGTAAGTATAAAAAAACTTTGTTCGGGTTATTTTTTATTTGGGCACTTTCATGTTAGATTTAAAAAATTCAGCAAGGGTATTTTGATCAATTTGTGCAAAATTCGCTAAAAACACGGCAGAAATGATCTAAATTTCGATTTATTTGTTATTGCATCCACTGCCTTACATTTCATAAAGGCCAATTCAAGCGCAAATACGCTTTCATATTTTAAATGAAATAGCGCTGTTATATAGCAATAAAAATGCACAGTACACAGTTTTATCAAGCATCTCAACACCGTACATTTGTAGTAGAAGCAAGTAAATACAGCAGTATACAAACAGGACATGTTAGTCAAGTAAACTGCTCAATTTAGTTAAATCCTAATTCTGTTTTTTAACTATACTATGCAATTTGAAGTCAAAGGTCTCTTTGTTATAGCGCGACTCTAATAATGCTGATAGCTTGCAGTTACATCGCCATGCATAAATTTAAAAAGATAAAACTCAACATTTCCTAGCTTTCCCGGGGGCTTGCCTTGATCGAGTCGAAATAGAGTTAAAAGCACCCTCATTTTTATTCTATATTATCATAATATGACGTTTATGACCATACAAGTTTCTTACATTTGATTTTAAAGACATCTGAGTACCTAATTATTGTCGAGATAACTTAGACGTACCAATAGACCGAAACCGATCTTACAAAATATTTAAGTTACTAAAATCAGTTTTCAAATCAAACTCCATTTTGAACATACTACAGAACTGAATAAATTTGCAATGAGATGGAACATTTTATTAGAGCTAGACTTTTTGGCAACCAGCCATTGTAGTTTCAAACATTTTCCAAAAGGCATCATCCTTTCAAAATGTTTCAAAATACCACCGATTATTCGACTTTCATACCTTGATTCAAATATTTAATACTTTATATCTACTGCAATTTTTTCAGCAAAAAGCGTAAATTAATACAATATTGATTTTCTTATCACTTACAGCTGAATTATTTGTCGGTGTAGTGCTTCACTTTAGTGTAAAACCAACTACATACAAAGTGATCCACAATGACTGAATATGTTGGCAATCCTGGCCCTAATTTTTAAAGCTTACCATTAGCGTACACTTTTGATTAAGAACAATTCAACAGTCTTGTGGGGTTGTACGTCAAGTATTTGTTAAGCAAAACCGTATCTGGTTGCAGTGTTTCAAATTATTAACAAAAAAACTTTCAAATCTGTTGCCAACAGACTCAGACTTTCTGGATCACTTCGTATTTATAGTTTACCACCAATTATGATATTTAGTTGCTACGATATTGAGTATTCGTCATTTTAACAAAAAATATTTTATATTTTAAGCACACTGTATATAATTAATTAAACTTTAGTAGTTTTGTTTAATTGGTACTTTTTGTTTTATTAGAGAGGAAATTAATTTCCAAGTATTGACGTTTCTGGGTGAAACCCGGGATGACTAAACTCCTTTAGTTACACTAGCCCTCGGAAGTTGCAAGGTCTGGTCCTGCGACAGCAGGAATGTTCCAACAATTTGTAAATAAGGCAAAGCTGTCACCACAGTTTCAGCAGTGTTCCTATATCCCTCGCAAATCTCCAATATTTCGTTTGCACAAATGATTTCAAGAACTGTTGAGCATTTTACTTTGTTATTTGAATCAAATTTCTGAGAACGTTTTCTCTTTAGTTCTTAAATTAGCTGTAATCTTGTTTAAGTGTTTTACATCCACAAAACTTAATACCTTAGTAACAGTTAGCATGAGCATTTTCCCTAAGTTTATCTCTTGGAGTAACTTGTAGAATTCAAAGGGATTTGCAGTGATATTTATTTGAGTTGTTCACTAACATTCATCCATTAGGCGATCGATTTCGGTCGAACATATTGCCTTTTTCAGAAAGTTCGGTGTGTAGCAGGAACTTGGAACGAGTATTTACAAGTGCGCAATTTAGGGTCACTTTGTTTGTTTGTAAATAAAAAATTCTTAACTCGGTTTAGGTTTGCAAACAAGTTAAATTGCTTTGATAACAATTTGACTTATACTCGTGAATGTTTTTACGGTGAAACGAACGCAGCATCCGTAAAATACAACTTAATTTACAATAACACAAATTCCATTTAGGTAAATTACATATATTTTGACGGCGCTACTTAATCTGGGTAAACCCCACGCTTACCGCATCTCGCTTCTAATGTGCTGCGACCCCGAACATAATGATATGCAAATGACGATGCTCCTTTAGGCTCAGAAATGTTTTCTCGTTTAAATTCTTATTAGATATGCAATTCCTAACTCGTAGACACATTATATGTAAAGTGCATTTGACATTCTTATTACCACGAAGCATTACAACCACAAAAGCGTCGAGCTTAAAGCTCGACGAACTTACAACCAAATATCTATATCATATCATAATACTGGCCACATTTTCTCTTTTATGTAAAAAAAGATTAGAATAGAAAATAACATCGTAACAAATCATTTTATTTATAAATTAGAATGTTAGTAAATAACCTTTATTTACTTTTAGAGCATTTTGATATTTTTAGTGCACAAAACGTGCATGTCGTTCCAATTATCCAAACTGGGACCCTTTGAAATGGCGAGAATCGAATGAAATTCGGCATTGTGTAATTTAGCAATGAACGAGGCCATGTTTTGGCGATTCACTTTGCCCTCGAAAATCTTTTGTGAATTTTGGATACCAAATGCAACATTTAAATGCATTGGTCGTTCAACTAGCGGCAGCTGTCGGAATTAGCACGCTGACTGCTCCTGAGGAATTAGGATGCCAATCGCAAATATCTTCATATCTTTGTTTCACTCTTTTATTTGTCTGGAAGCTTGCACAACTTTCTTATTATCCCGATCCTTTTTATTCGGCGCTTGTTGAGTAAAAAATAAATAATACCACAATTGTGGGTGCCATAATTCCTGCTGTAATTTCTTTTTTGTTCGTCTGATCTTAAAAACAAATTCAATTTGGGGAAAATATATCATTTTCAAACTAAGCAGGGCTGCAAACGCCCTTGCAATCCAATCATTCAGACAGTCAGCCATTTTAAAATAATTGCTTTTCCTCGCTCACATTAGCTCTTTATTGCTCCATTAGTATCAACTGATTAAACTTTAACACACCAGACCACACCATCACTTCACCTTACCTACCTTACACCCCAACAACATTATCTAATTCTGTGCTAGGGATAGGTGAAATGTAGTCATGAAGTTTGCTTAAATTAACTGTTATAGAGAGAATTTGAAAAGAAAAGGAAGCTGAAAAAACTCTGTATACATACGAATTCAGCCAACATTATTTAAAGAATAAATAAAATAGATTTATGCTGGACGCGAGTTGCATTGCACAAAGCGACCAGAGAGTTATGATTTGGACGATGTTGGACAGTTCCCGTTATATGAATCGTTTTTGTGCATAGCTCTAACTTTATTTCGTAATAACTAACATGTAATAGAGAAATATACGAAATATTGCAAGAGAAAATTGAATTATCTTCTTGTTTGTGTTTTAAGATTTAAGGACATTTTCGTTTATCTCCAACTCACCGAACAAATATTAAATAAAATTTCATGTAAAGATTATTTTGTTTTAATTAATTTTCCAAAAATTTATTCCGGACGAAAATTAGTCCGCGGTAATTAAACAGCAGAACGGCTTAAAATATTTTATCGAATTACCTTGCATCCTATACATAATTATTGCAGCTCAATGGGCACCCCTTTAAGTCTTAAGGGTTTATTACTGGCGATCAAATTACACCCTTGTGAGGATAACAGCAACCACAACGCGCCATCGATTTTTTGTATTTAGAGGATTGGTTAATTCAATCCTTATTTTTTCTGTTACAGGTACTCTAGAAAAGATTTTTTCAAAGATAATTGGAATAGAATTCTTTTATTTTCTAGTAATGTAAATGATTTGTAATTGTGTGAAATTTTTTTTGTCAGTTCTGTTTTCAAAGCTGGCTTTGAATGCATAAATTAATAAGCGGCCAATCTGCTTGTTTAATAAGAACATAAGCACCTAATTCACCCCTTAAGCCTTGAATAAACATTTTGATCGACTAATTTTTGTACTCCCCTTTTAAGTAGCAATTCTATTGCGGTAATTTTGTCCTTTTTCAAGCTTGCGTTCACCTGAATGACGCAACGCTATCTCTCCATTTTCCATAACTTCTATATCTCGCATCTCCACTCTTTCCTGAAGCTTCTCTTTAAAGTGTGTCACCCGAGAACAACCCCTCACATTCAGGACAGGTGTTTGAGACATAATCCAGTAGTGCCGGCACTCAAGTGCAATTGAGATATTTTTTCAAGCTTCAACTCAAACAAAGAAACAAATTAAAAGGAACCACATCAATATTTAATTAAAATAAATAAATATGTACAACAAATGACACAAATATTGGTCTGCCGAAAATTTTCAAAACTTACAATTGAGTAAACAAAGATAACAATTAAGACGTTTGACAAAATAAAATGTTAATCACAAAAATAATTTAAACAACAGGTAGTACACTCTACAAAGTTACCTACAATAATTACAAATTACCTAATTGATTACAAAACTAACAATTTTACAATTCTTTACGTTTAATTATAATTTAAATACAAAAATAAAATCAACAATTTCGGATCACAAGAATTTCACGTAGGAGCATAGCCTATTAAAAATGACATCATCATCACTAAACTCGCTCTGTTTCACGTCTTGACCATTTCCATATTACCTAATTTAGAATGCTGCATGTCCCTATTGGTGTACAACTTCTCGTTGTTGAGAAAATCCTCCACTGAATCGATCTTTTTTTGGAGTTCACTGTTCGGAATTATTAGAGAATTATTCATCGGTTCTTCACTATTTTTATCCTCTTTAATAATCGTCCTCTGTTTATCTTTTATGCTAAATTCTTCCAGAATTTTCATTAAACTAGAATGCTCAACTTGTCCGTTCTCTTCAGTCGCTAATTTATCAGCAGAAATATAAGAAGTTTCTTCTTTACGTTCGGGCGAGGGGGGCGGAGTTGGACTAACACCTCTGTCGCAATTTGACACTTGAGATCTTCGCTCCACGGCCGATTCTGACGCCTCTCTGTTAATTTTTTTCAAGAGGGATTCAGATCTTCGAGCTGGGGCTTTGGGCTGTTCAATATCTATATCTTTAACGACTAAACTTTCAACATCTGAAAGAACGTCTTTGCTGGTTTTCGAACCATGATTTTGTCTCGGCAAACTTGTGTCTTTGGGATTGTAATGCTCGATAATCCTAAGATCCCAGTCTTCCAAACCTCCAAAAGAATCGTCACTTTCTATATCAATCGGGACTTTTCTTATCTTCAATTTCTCCAAAAGCTGCTGAGGCAACAAAGACCCAAAACTCCTACATCTAGTCATACACGTCTCAAGCTTCCCTGTGGACGCCGTCGATGTCAACTTCTTTGACTCGGTTGGAAGAGATACTAGGGAATTATTAAGAGACTTGTCTTGATTTTTATCAACATCCTCAAAAGTTGCAACTGATAGTTTCAACTCATTATAATTCGGTAAGGACACAACTGACAAATTTTTCCTCCTTTTCGCTTGTTTCAATTCGTTTTCCATATTTTTCTTATCCTTGTTTTCGTTTGCTTCGTTCGTTTTGTGTACATGATTTCGGTTGTGAATGGCACAATCATGGTCGTCCAATGGGCAAGTGTGCTTGACAGTTTTCTTAACACAAAGAGGTTCCTCGACTGGTTTTTTCGACTGGAATGCTTGCAAGCCGTTTTTGGCTACAGCTTCGATTTTTTCTCTAAAACCCTTCTTGTGTTTTCTCGGGGGAGGTGTTGGGGTGGTGCTGCTGTTGTCGAAAATGAAAGACAGTTTAGGGTTGCGTAGATGTATTGCTTCGTCTTTTTCTGGGACTTCCAGGGCAACGTCCGTCCAGTCGGAAGATTTGGACAAGAGTTGGGCTTGAACTATGTTTTCTTTTTTGGAAGATGGATCATTCGGATTCGTTTTGAATCTAAAAAATGAGGGTAATGTAAGAAAAACATGGGTAATTAAACTAGCATGTTAGGAAGAGTATGACTTGAACGGTTCAGCTCTAAATATTATGTTAGTGAGTTGATAAAATTTATCAGATAATGAGCGTACCTATTGACCTGTTTCTGGTTCAAGTGTGAATCCGATTTCCACGAATTTGGACGTAGCTGTAACAATGAAACAAATTTTAATATTTGCTTTGCACAATTATAAATTTAGCAGCAAATGAGATCATTTCCTTGCATAAATACAACGTTTTCACTTATTGTTCCGTAGTAATAAGCGAGGACGTATAACTAGACACTAGCTTGTTAAGCGGAAAGAGGATACTGGGTGACTTTTTGCAAAAAGTAGGTAGACGAGAATTAATCTCGCAGTGTGAAACTTAAATAATTGAAGCAAAAGTTTCTATGTCGTTAAATTTACTTTTAATAGTAAAAAACGTACCCACGCCTGTTTCAAAGATTGTATTTTATCTTATGGCATTTATATTTATGCAAATTCGCCATTTAACATTCGTTGAACTTTTTATCGTGTAATTATATTCATTGTGCCATTCTATAAACGGAAAACGCCCATTTTAGTATAGTTGCAACCAAATAAGCGCTTTATCTGTACCTACAACATCCCCTTCTATTAAATACTGAATAACAAAGTTTTCAAAGTAATATTTGTCGGGATTTATAAACAAAAACGTGTGCGGAATCTTTCAGCATATTGCAATTTTTAGATCTTAAGCATGTGGGGAGTGTTAAAGCGATGCGAAAATAAACCGACACAATGACGAAAATTTTATTGAAAAATAGTTGCGTGGAAAATGCAATTCAACGATTGCAAAGCCGGAACAATACCAAACAATTTGAACCATAACTGATTTCTCTGGGAATTAAAGTTTTAACAGTGCTATTATTTGTTTAGGAACATTTATTCCATGATTTTTTTTATTTCTTTCAATCATTTTAATAGAATTCGAATCTCATTGGAAATATTCATCAAGTGGCAAATTTTTATAATTGTAAAAGAAATTTCTATTGATAACCATATTTGAGGTGAATAATAATAACAATTGAAAGAAAGGTCTAATGTCTTGGAAAATTACCCTTTAGTTCTAATAGGAAGTAACAGCATTAAATCAAAATTCTATGGTTGCAACTCTCCAATAGTTTATTTATTTTATCTTATGGTTTTTATTAAACTAAACCACAAGAAATATTTTCTCCCCTTCACTTTATATGGGAAACGTAGTATTCAAATGCAGACAAAACCACACCCAGATTGATCTCGTTCGTTTAATTACCCTTCTTAAATTTCTTCAAATTAATTAAAAATAAATTGGCATTTTAACACATATTTTCAAAGAATGTATTACGTCTAATAAAAAAAATTAAAAGAGAAAAAGAAATTTTATTTCTTTAAGCAATTAGTGTACGATATTAATACCTATCTCTTTTATTTAATCTAATATTAGTTTGAATTTCCTGTTTACGCCTTAATTGTTATTGTTAGTTGGAAAGTTATGATTTAAAACTTTGAATTTCTTTATATATACTTTCGCACGAATGTCCAAAGATTTAATAACATTTTTATAATAGAAAAAGTTTTGCTCCAAAATCACAATCCACAACCTTTAAAAATTGATTTGAGCAAAGTTGCAAATATTCAAGGAAATAAAATTTTTAAAGTTAAAGTCAATTTGATGAAAGTAAACTACCCATACGACAAGATGAAAAGCAGTTTGTAGCTTGTTATTCGAGATATATACAGGGTGGAATGGAAGCATGGGCTACAAATACGTATGTAAAATGCAGAAATGCTTTATTTTCGTTTGTGTTTCAATAAACAATATCAATGAATTTATTACAAACAGATACCGACCATCTGACGGCTTGGAATGGCGCACATTTTTTGTAAAAATCATAAATCAAATAAACCAGAAATTTGCTTAAGCCTTTCGTTAGTTCCTTCCTATATATTGCAAGCAGCGAAAAGTCAGGCGCACTTACTATATTTCTGCTTTTGTTACAATATGTACAACATATTTACTAAAATCTTTGATGCCCCAAAAATAATCATTTTTACATGATTAAATTAAAAAACGGTGATAAGTAGGTATGAAACGACTAACATTTTTTTGTAAAAACTTCATACAATGTAATAAAAACTCAAATTCACAAGTGCAACCAGTTATAAATTTTTATTGTTGAAAAACCTTTTTTAATAAGAATTTCATCGAAAGTTTTCATAAAAAAAGTGTCGAGTAAAAGTGTCGAGTTGTATTAATGCCTAGGTTTTACAAATTCCATACTACATGAAAGTAAGTGATTGCATTCTTGCAAGATCATAAAGTTATGTGAATCATCCTATGATCAGTGTATAGAATTTACAATAAACAATATGTGGAACTAGGCTCGGTTTTTCCAATTGGCAATAACATTTAACCAAAGGTTAATAGGCATAAGTATGAGTTAAATTATTTAAAACTATTTGTGTCAACATGCTTGTAGCTTGTGATTGTAGAAAATTATGAAACTATAAATCCAAATTTTTATGTTTCATTATCTATAGTATTATGGGACATTTTTTAACTTCTCCTGACTTTATTGGAACTTTATTAAAATCAAAAAAATTTTTTTCATTTACTACATAAAATTTGTAAACATAACTTAAAGTTTTTTAAAGAAACGTTAATTAAAGACTTTAGTATGCTTGCATGAAGATAGAAACAATAACTAAGATTAGATACATAAAACTTCTGTTATATTCCGAGTGGTTTTTTTATTTTTAAGCAAATAATTTTGTTTGTGTATGGTTTTTATTTTTAATGATGGCGTCTTCCATTGTTGTTCTATATCATCCTAAAAATAATTAGATCATGTACAGTTATTCGAGTATGACAGTAATTCGTTGCGTGTATAGGTATTATTATAAACAATGAAGTATATACTATATGCGGTTTCAATAACAATTCTTCTAATCTCCCGTTGAATAATTGTATAATGTAATTATGCGCGGAGTCACGGTGTTGTGCTCTCTGATGTAATACAACGAATTTAGAATCGTCTGATTGTTTACTCAGAAAATCCAACTTCATATTTCACATAATTTCTGTTTAAATGCAACTGAAAATACACAACATTTGCATTTTCATTCGCATGTTAGAGCGTCCAACACAAAATAGTTTCGGCTGAATGCGACAGAAATGTAAAATTTCTCCGCAACTCCTGAAAATATAATACAAAGTGGAATTTTAAGATGCTGAAAATACTTTCATTTTACCAAACATGTAAATAAATATAAAAGTTCTAAACTGTAATTTTGAATGAAACGAGAAAGTCAAATTATACATCGTCTACAACGTCTTATCTGCTGTCTACACTTCAGTTCGTGAATGTCATAATCAGAGGACTATTGTTCAACAAACTACAGTTAAACCAAAAATTATATCTTGTATAATTAGGAAAGTAAAGATACAAAACGAAATTAATGTCATTATGTGAAAAGTGATTTTCCCAAATTATCCACCTTTGTTAGGTGAAATAATTAATTAACGGAAGTTGCGGTAATATATAATAAGAGGCACTTAATTACCTACTAGAAGTGCAGGATATATTTCTCGTAAACTAGAAAAACTAAATGGATGAATTTTATAGACCACGGCTAAATTTAAACCATAAACAAAAAATATATTTTTAACTATCTTACACACCGTTGAAAATATTAATACAGCTTCTTTGAAATTTATTTGATGTGAATAATAATCAAGGTTGAAGGTAAATAATTAAAATTTACGTAAGTTTTCGTGTCAAGAGTAATTTTAACCTTGAAATGAAACGAAAATTAATGACAAAATAAATATTATCCAAGTTGGAAAAGTGTAAACTTAAAAATTCCTATCGCAGGTTTATTTAAAAATACGACTGAGAATTTGTTAACTGCGTCTTAAATGACCATCAACTGACTCACATGTAATCTATTAATGATCCTATCGAAAGGTGTCGGCGATTTGGGATTATCCGGAACATCCGATTTCTTTTTACAAAGCTTGTTTCCCATAGCTTTTCGAACGTAGAATAAAAACACTTAAAGACAACAAAAGCACAATCGGTTGAGAGAACTGTACAAAACACTTGCGTTACTGAAAGTCTCGGCTAAACTACTCCAAGCACTGCAGGCAGATGTTGGGGGCCCTGTCGCGACCTTACCTAAGCTGCTGTGTTTAACTTTCCTCTCTTGCAGGTAAGGTTAACTCGTTCACATGTGCTCTCCTACTACCCGACTGTTATTTCTTCAATTAAATTATCTACGGCTTGTTTGTACATTTTACGAACGGATTTTTAACAGTTGTGAGATTAACGCACCGGAACAGAACCAACCGGAAATTTTGACCATCTGCTGGAACACATAATGGTGGCATAAAATTTTGACAATTTATACCAGACTCCTCTGATTGTTTTTAGCTTCTTGTCTATCTCATTTTTATTTTATTTATGCAATGTTTATGATGTCAATAAAATCAGTGAAACGACTGCCTTGAAAAATACCGAGTCAATGTCATTTTGTGCTCCAGGCTGTTATGTATGCTCCGACTGCTAATATTTACTGAAAAGTTTAGTTTCAATGATCAGTGAAATTGAGGTAATTTTTAAAATAAACACAATGTGTTGCAGAATTTTTTTCATTTAATTGATCTTGTTGACACAATACTTTAATTTTCATGTTTTCTACTTTTACACAATTTAATTATTTGTTTCTAGATTACCACACTCAAGGAACTTCCTCACATTTAGCATTGCGTACCTAAACCAATTAAATAGTGTCATTATTCTAAAGTAATTTGTCTTGTTTACTATTTTGCAATAACCTAAACAGATTTTAGTGAGAGGTGCGACTGGTAGGAAATTTTTGCCATGTGTTTATCATTTAATCGTGAAACAATTTCTAAGTTATTCTAATTAATGAGATTGTTGTTTTCTCTGAAAAAAAGCAGCAGAAGAAATGGTCAACAAACCATTTACAACAGGTTTCTCCGCCTATAAAATACTTTCATTTATTGTCACCGTTTCAAAATTCACCTGCAAACACATCACGTTTAAAAATTAACATGGCTTCATCTATACGTGCACCCAACTAGGTCATAACAATTTCGATTTAATACCGTATGAATCATGTTTTGGTTACATAGCCAAGAACAACAGCGAGGACATAATTCTTGAAAAATTGCGATATGGAGGTTTGCACAGTTTATTTTTAAAGCTCGAGTCAACAATGAAAAAATTCAAACAATTATTTTTGAAGTTGATGCAGCTTCTTTCCTGAGTGCTTGTAGGTGAATTAGTCGCCTTATTTTCTCGTAGTATCTTTTATATTATTTATTTTTCGTTTACTTGTTTATTAACAATGGGTTGTCATTGTATGGATAACAAACATTTCCCATCCCAAGTCTAGAATAAGATAGTAATGTAATGTATTTTTAATGTACAAGTTCATCATGAATTAATTAGGAAATAAAAAGGTCGAATGAAGTTTATAGAAAGGCTTGCAAATGTACTGTTAGAATATTATGAATATTGAACAGTCGACTATTATCCGTAGCAACTATTAAATAATTACATTGTTACTTGAAAGTGTAAAAATTCAGAAGATTCATTTGGTTAATAACCGACTTTTTCTTTTCTGCACTCGTTTCCAATAAATAAAAAGCTGAAATTTTTTATTGATAACCACTAATGTTGCAAATTCTTCTGAAATGACAAACATTTTTCCCTTCTTAAAGAACATGCGATAAATTTTATTTTTGATACAAATGTGGGAAATACATAACAGAAATAATACGTACGGCAGTAAAATGGAATGAATCCCTAACGACCCATTCAATTTAAGCCTCTACGTAAACGTAACTGTAATAAATAAAAACCTGCAGTCACATGAATTTGATACTTAAGTTATTATGCTGTAATTACGAGCATCTCGATCTGGAGCATTCTCTAATTATTACTTTTAATTTCCAAAGTCTATAAGGTACAGTGGTGGAATTAAAATTTTGGGCAGTATTGTCATTTTCATAATGTAAACTTTAAAACAACCTTTACATTAATAACCTCATTTTTTACTCTTGTCATTTTGACTTATCTATTTACTTTCGAAAATAGTGTCACCGACAGAAAAGTTTAATTGTCAAATGTCAGTCATGATGACAGTAAAAGGTAGTTTACAGTGAACGTTTTTGAAGTGACAGAAAAATACTGCCCGAAATTTTAATTCCGCAACTGTACGTACGGACTTTTTTAAGAGAACTTTTAAAAGAGAATTTACAGAATTTGGTTTGCTAATGAATCAAGTGAAATGTAAACTTATATTCCATTCTTGCACTAAATACCACCTGTCAAATTTTTAAACAAGCAATTTTCACAATACCAAATGGTGAATTTTTTTTAAAGTCAGTTGTCTTAATTGAAATAATTTTTAAATAAAAACTGATTTGTTAAATTTTAAATAATACGCAAGTTAAAGTTGTTTATAATTTTTAATAATAACAGAATAAAAAGCATTAATAACCGACATAAATGTGATTACTTTTCTTTTGAGAAATCCGAAAAAGTAGAACGTCCGAAACAAACAGTCATACAAGGTCTACATTTACGACCCTGACAAACTTTAAATACAACTTTTGTACTTAAAATAAAATTTGGCAAACCCACTGATCATTCGAGAATTATTTTTTTTGAAAACTTTTAATTTTTGGTGACTGCAATCTAACATAATAATGTTTTAAATATGTTTAGAATTTTTAATTTAATTTCAAAATTGATTGAAAAGACTACTGGTCGTAGAAAAAAATATACACCTCGAATTGTAAGCCATTTATGCAGGTGTCGAATTCTAGTTCTTGTACAATATTCATTAGATAGATAAATTGTTTCCCATAAAAAAGTGTGACTAGTGTGAGACGCATGTTATTAAAAGGGCTGTATTTTAATTGAGTATTTAACCATATTTAATTACAACACTTTTACTCTTATTACAACGTAAAATAAAAGTGAAAAATGTACAAATTTCTTTGCCGGCATGTAATTACCTACTTATACTTGCATGAGAAATACTTTATAATGACAATTGCATTGCTAACAGCAAGATTAAAATAGAGATTATTGGCATAAATTTATATGCAAATTTTGTAAACGGAAAACGTTACTAGAACGTATCATAACACTTTAGTAATGAAATTAGCTCACTTATAATTAATGTTTTTGCTTGGAATAAATACACTTACTTGAAAAATATCATGCCACCTAAACGGTTTTGCTTTATTTCCTTCCACCTCACTCATTTTTTTTCATCACTGATTTCATAAAATAGTTGTAGACAACCTGACGCACTTACAACATCTATACTGTCGTGTGTATCCTTGTATTTATAACTAATATTTTACGTCATAGGTCCATCTAAATAAAAGTGATTTCATCGAAATTCTTTGCGAAAAAATTATATTTAATCATAAACTTTGCAGTAAATAACGATTTTCAGAGCTTCTAGTTAATTAGGTTGCTTATTTTAAATGTATTATGTTGTTCCTGAATTTAGGAAATGGATGTTTTTATTACCGCTTTAAACGTGAAATTCCTTCCACCTACTTCCGACTAACTTTGAGAAATGTTTAACTTAATTTAATCCCGCCCAAGATTTTGTACGAATTACGAAGCCTTATTCTAGGAGCGTATCACATACATTCTGTATGCCTATTACTATCGACGAATGTGTAATTTCTGCAATAAAATTAACGCAATTCAAAGAAAACGCAGATAACGCTGAGAAAAGCATAATAAATTGCTTTATTCCATTCAATATTGCATAATTTATGCAAATGCATGTGTGCCATAATATTAAGAATAGAAGAGTGGAATACAGATGAGTCTTGTGTCGAGAAGACTGTAAGAAATTACTTTACTTTTATAATTTACAAGGAAATGAAAAGAACGAAATGATTTAACCTTTCACGTTTTACCCCTCGACTTTTAACAGTTGCATAATACACCTACATGCACTGGACAAGTTGCGCTAAATGCATCTTTCATCAAATTTCCTCTTAATTCCATTAAAATTTAATAACAATAATTGTAGTAAGCATTTAATGTGATTATAATAGTTTTGCTTAAGAGGAAACTTGGTTCATGAAATAGATTAGTTGATCAAATCGGACAACAACTTGACGCAATCTCCATCAATTTAGATGGTCGTACTAAAGTGTCTTTGTAAACCTTGAGTAGTGTGTTGGATTATGTTTCTCAGATCAAGTTGCTCTTTCAATCTACGAAATGTGGGAGGAAACACCCACCGTATTTATCTCAACAGTTCATTGCCTCTAATTTTTTATTTTAATGAAGCAGTACAAAGTCTTTATGAAGATTAAATCGAAAAAAATCTGCTTGAAAAAAATCCAGACTTTTGATTCAGCATCTACAAATCGCTTGTAAAATTTTTAAATATTGATAATTACACGTCCGTCTGTTAATTTATTAATACATTCACGTAGCATTTTATAAATTATTAATGTTCAATACATCTATTCCTTTAAGTCTTAATACTTCCTCAATAAGTGTCTCCTCATGCAGAACGAGTAAGATTTATTCTTATTAGTGATTCGGTAAATGTCATTCATAACAGAAAATAAATATACCGAAATAACAGTAAATTCTTCAGAGGGTACTTCATGACTCTTATAAGTCTTATATAATCTTTTTATTCTTCAAGTAGTAAAAAAAAGTTGAATGAACGGTTGGAGAAATTTTCATGTATTTATTATACACTAGAAAAGTGGCTTTTACTTTGAAAAAAATATTTTTTGTTTACCATTTTTTGTTCTGTTAATATCAGACCATTATCTTGTGACTGCTTTCCGCTGCTTAATGATTGATAGTGTTCATAAAATGTTTCAAACTCCAGCGAGTTTCTTACTAAATCCTTTTCCCTAGTCGTGTTTTTTATTATTTCTGACAGCATGACTTTTGGCACAAAGGCTTTAATTAATTTAATTTTTTCTTTATGTAGATGCTCTAATTTTTCTATTCCATATTCGATTTTCAACGAAAGCTCTGTAAGAACGTATGCAGGTGCCATCTATTTTTCAGTAGAGATAAATACAGCTTGGATGTACAGAAGACGATACCTAATTATATTATTTCTAATTTAAATGGAGTCATGTCAAGGTAAGTTTACATTTAGCTGTGATATAATTAGTTAGAATATTAATTAATTGAAATTAAACGAAACTCAAAAGCTGGAAGATAGGCAACATTGAATACTCTTTGTATTATTGTGTGTCTATCGAAGCCTCGACTCGCTTTCAAAACTGGCTGAAACCACTTTATTATATTTTAATAGCTAAGTACTCAATAATACCTACGTATTATTGACCAAAAATGTAGAGAAACATCCCGAGA